GAGTCCGAAAAGGAAGCGCACCTATTAAAAGGCATTGCCGATGACGCGTTCAATTTGCTAATTTGCAAGGACTATGACACAGCAGATGCCATTACCTGAGAGTGCCAGTGCTTTGAGGCCGCCAAAAACCAACGTATTTCCCATCCGTTCGCTCGACTTCCCAACACCGCAGCAACATGGTCGTGCAAATACATGCCTGTACCACAGGCACCGTTGACTGGAGAGCACGTCACGAAGATTATCCGTACGAGAACGTGAAGCTGTGTCTCCCGCTTCAACTTTCTCTCGTGCCTGTGAGTGCAGCTCCCAAATGGTGCTTTCAGTGCAGGCCATCGTTCGCCAAGAGCTTTCGAACGTTGGCCTGGAATCTGTGTGCACCACCGCCCCCTCCCGACCAACTGACCGTCGTTCACCAGTTTCCTACGCCCAAGGCCAGAGGCTCCCAGCACGCTCTCGCAATTCCGTTGAGTGGAGGACTGCTGATGACCGGCCCATTTGCTTACTGCCATCGTGTTAGTCACTGTCCCGCTACTACAATAGCAGGTGGTATTGGCGTCAGCCTTCCTATGGCTACAACCTTCATGCCGAGGCAGATGATGGCCACTTCGGAACTCGCCACGAGTTACCGCGGCCAGCCGGTGGTGACGGTTCGTCAACGGCGCGTTGCTGGTCACCATCCCCTCCCGGCCACCAGTCCCGCTCAGCGCTGTCTCGTCGCCCATCGTCGCGCTCACCCCTAATTAGCCGTTCTCCTTCGCCGACTGCAGATCTGGCTCGGAAAAACTAGACAATGCAGCTCCCAGAGGTGATGCTGCATCGACGATTCACCAGTCAAGTCCTCTGACTGTGCCGACACGACGCAACCTCATAAACGTTAAAGTAGACGATGCACTTGTTGTGGCCCTTGTAGACACAGGGTCTCACATTTCGGTGAGGAACTCGGAGCTTCGCCGCCGCCTTAAAAAGGTTTTAACACCGCCCACAGTGCCGCTCATCCAAGTCGCTGACGGTGGAACTTTTCCTGTGCTTGGGATGTGCTCCACACGTGTTAGGTTTGCTGACCGCTCCACAACTTTGCTTTTTGCCATGCTCGAAAAGTGCTTTCATGAACTCATCCTGGGCATGGACTTCTTTGCCGCGCACTTTGCCTTAATTTACTGTGGCATAGGCTTGCTTCACCTTGACCTTCCTTATTCCCATGACACTCCAACTACACCTTAACAACGTTTGTGTTCTGTCGAGTGCGTTCGCCTAGCGCCCCAAGCCGTTACTTATGTAACCATGAGGTCTTTTCTTCCGGTACCCGACGGTGAATATGTGCTGGCACCAATTTCGGACGTGTTATCAGACAGATAAGTTACCTTTCCTCATACTCTGTTGACGATTACGAATAATGTTGTGTCGCTACCGATACTGAACTCCAGCTGGTGTGTTCAAGTTGTTCCAGATGGCATGACTCTAGCCAACGTCTCTTCCATCGAACATTCTGTTTCTGCATTCATTGCAGACGCTCCTTTGCCCACAACTGCATCCTCTTCACAGAACTCCACTGATACCACTTAGACAAGATAGTCGCGCCAGACCTCATTCCAGCACAGCTAGGCAGACGATCTCCGGCCTATCTTGGCATCCTTCAGGGACATCTTCGACTTTGGCGACAGCCCTCTAGGTCATACATCAGTTGTTACTCATAGGATCAACACTGGAGACGCCAGCCCAATCCGACGACGTCCTTATCGCGTGTCACATGCAGAGCGACAAGTCATCCAACGTGAAGTTGATAAAATGCTCCCAAAAGACGTCATTGAACCATCTTGCAGTCCATGGGCCTCACCAGTCGTTCTAGTAAAAAAATGGCAGCTGGCACTTCTGCGTCCACTACCGTCGCTTAAACAAGGTCACACGAAAGGACGTCTACCCACTGCCGCGGATTGACGATGCCATCGACTGCCTTCACGGGTCTGCCTACTTCTCCTCTATTGACCTGCGTTGAGGATACTGGCAGATTTCTGTCGACGATTTAGACCATGAAAAGACTGCATTTGTTGGACCGGATGGGCTTTTCCAGTTTCAGGTAATGCCCTTTGGCTTATGCAATGCTCCTGCTACATTTGAGAGAATGATGGGCTCGCTGCTACGGGGTTACAAATGGTCAACGTGCCTCTGTTATCTCGAGGACGTCATTGTATTCTCACCCTCATTTGAAAGTCGCCTTAGCCATCTGCCAGCTGTTCTGAAAGTTCTCAGAACGGCAGGCCTACAGCTCAACTTCTTCAAATGCCATTTCGGCCACCAAACAATCCCTGTGCTAGGCCATCTTGTCAGCGCTAAAGGCGTGCAACCAGATCCCGACAAAATTCGCGTCGTCAAAAATTTCCCCACACCACGTTCCACGAATGATGAATGGAGCTTTGTCAGCCTCTGTTCCCATTTCCGGCGTTTCGTCCACAACTTCGCTGACAGTGCCCATCCTTTGACACAGCTACTGAAGGACACGCCGTTTTCTTGTGGTCCCCTGCAAGACGATTTGTTTCACCGACTTACTGCGTTGCTCACTTTCCCGCCTATCTTAGTTCATTTCAATCCTTTAGCGCCCACTGAAGTTCGCACTGACGCCAGCGGACACGGTATTGGCGCTGTCCTCGCCCAGCGGCAGCAGGATCCAAATCGTGTAATTGCCTACGCAAGTCGCCTCTTCTCCCCATCCTAGTGCAAGTTTTCCATCACTGAGCGCGAGTGCCTCGCTCTTGTATGGGCAGTTGGAAAATTCCTACCATACTTGTTCGGCCGCCACTTTTCGGTCATCACGGATCACCACGCATTGTGCTGGTTGTCCTCCCTCAAAGATCCTTCTGGACGCCTGGGTCGTTGGGCTTTAAAGCTACAGAAATATAGATTTGAATTGACCTACAGGTCTTGCCGAATGTATCAGGATGCCGACTGTCTATCTGGCCATCCCGTCGATCTCCCTGACCTGCCAGCGCATAATTATGATGCCTGTGTCTTCACCATTTCACGGACATACGTAGGGAGCAACTCAGTGATGCCAATCTGGCGTCTATCATACGCCGTCTAGCTTCTGGCACTTCGGATCTTTTCCTTCGCCTGTTCACGCTTCATGACGGAATTCTCTATCAGCGCAACACAAGCACTGAAGGCCCAGAGCTTTTTCTGGTAGTTCCTGCAATGCTCCGTTCCACTGTGCTCAAACAACTTCATGATGCCCCAACTGCTGGACATCTCGGAGCAGCCCGCACGTATCACCGCGTACGACGTCAATTCTTCTGGCCCGACCTTTACCACTCTGTGCGTTGATACATTGCATCTTGTGAGTCTTGCAGCGCCACAAGCATCCTTCATTCGAACCACCTGGCCCACTTCCGCCTATTGACATTCCAACAGACCCATTCTACCACGTCGGCCTCGATCTCATTGGACCATTTCCAACGTCTCTGAGTGAGAATAAATGGATAGTGGTGGCTACAGACTACGGAACACGCATGACAGTCAAAGCTCAGCATACATTGTCTGGAGGCAACAAGGAGGAGCATCATGCGCTCGAATTCTCTATATTGCCCTTTTTGGTTATCTTGCGTATCGGAAGACTTAATGCTTTAAGTATCAGGCTAAGGTCTACTAGCCAGCCACCACCTCGAGTAAAGGGGATGTGCCCTGCGACGCCTTCTGGCAAAAAAAAGTGTTCCACACACACCGCGCGCGCTACGAGCAGCACTGGCTAAAACTCCCAGGTGTTAAACACACCTGAATACTCCTCGAAATCTGGACGAGGTAGCACCCACCGTCGTATCTCAAATGGACGAGCATCGGATGCAAAACATATATCGAAGGTTGTGGCTTCGGATCCCACCGACAGAAAAGTACATTTTGTCCAATATATTGATGTTCTTTTCGAATAAGAATCATTACACCCCCGTTCTGAAACCACAAGTAAAGTCATTTATGATTTCTTTGGTCAAATACTTTGTTGATCTCATTATTTGTATGTTTTATTACGTCAGCTCAGGAGATCTATTTTCATTTGCAGCCGGCAATAAAGGCTTCGTACTTGTTCACTAAGTTGGTTCAGTCCCCTGCCGTGGTTGAGTGCAAGTCTGTTGTAGGTTGCATCATTTTTCTGTCTTCAAAAAGTTATAGACCGCAAGAAACACGGCGGAGTGGCACAGGCAGCACACACAGGTTGGCAATATTCTAGTTGATATGAAAAGGATTTAAATAGGCCTGAGCAGGTCACGTCATGGGGAAGGACATATAACGTATGGTAGTCTAGAGCGACAAAATCCTTACTAGGAACTAGTTTTCATCGTCGCACCTACCCTTTCATCAGGTTCAGTGAAGGAATTGTGAAATTAAGAATTGACTTCGTGGAAACCTTTCTGAAAACAGTTCAGTACTTAAGAGACAGGATCACCTTACACAGTTTATTGAGCTTTCATGTATTGTGCGAACAGTTAAATTGTCGTGATTACTTCTGTTTTTACAAACTCTGTGTGGTGTGGACACATTTCTGTGTGGTGTGGACACTCAGTATTGAAAAACATGGTTTCATTGCGTAAGCGTTGTGCTATGTACATATGTATAGCCTTGTGTATGCTACAGAATATGCGATGTCGACTTTTGTGCAAGATAGGGGGAGTAGCCAGTGCCATGCATTGGCACCGACCTCTCCTTATAAGCATTCATTAAAAAAAGAAAAAGAACGTGCTTTGTCGACCCCGGCGACAGTGTGTGTGGCATGTTGCAGTCTCAGGCTTTTAAGTGCATAGTACGCGCTTAAGCAGCTTTTACGCATGAGAGTCGTTATTTCATGCCAAGGCAAGCAGCACTGCGGAATTTCATTACTTATCTCCAAAGTTCAACAAAAATTGTGGAGCTCACACACTCACACACGAAATTTATTTTTCTCTTGGGACTAACTCGGACACATGCTCACCAAGCTATTCCTAATCCGGACTAGGACACACGCTCATGAAACTGTTGTAGCGTGACGTCACTTATCACTGCGCACCCAGTGCGCGCATTCCTGTGCGACCGATCACGTGGTTCTGCGCCTATATATGGTGCGTCTTCTAATAAACTTATCAGTTGCTTCTTGGTATGCTGTCTGCTGCTCACGTTATTACACTGGCGACGAGGATGGGATCCGCCCCCTTGTACTAGCTCAGTACGAAGCAGTATTGCGGGCGATCGGCGGTCGACAGCCATGGACCAGAAAACAACGGCAGCCATGGCCTGGGACGGTTGAACTCGGCGGCACTACCTTCGGCAAGAGGCAACGCAGTCGTCGGGGAAAGCAACCCGATAAGTATACTGCACTTTTACTGAACAATGGCGCGACTAGGCAAGCTAGACGAGTTCGACGAGAAGGATCAGAATTTTGAATCCTATCTGGAGCGTTTTGAGCACTTCGTCACCGCAAATGACATCAGAGAGGAAAAGAAGCTGGCAGTATTCTTGAGTGTGATAGGACCACGAACGTACGAGGTGCTCAAAAGTTTGGTAGTACCCGCTGTTCCTGGGGACAAGTCCTTTGAAGAGGTCACAGTGCTGTTGAAGAAACACTATAGCCCACAGTGCTCGGTCATTGCCGAACGTTGCAAATTTAACAAGCGAGCACAAGAAGAGCAGGAAAGCGTCGAGGACTTCATAGTGGCCTTAAAACAGTTAGCAAGGAAGTGCGATTTCGGTCAGTTTCTGCAAGACGCGCTGCGAGACAGAATAGTGGCAGGCATAAGACGCGAGGAAACGCAACTCGCCCTATTTGCTGAAGAAGATTTAACCTTCGAAAAGGCGTGTAAGATAGCCCAGGACCGAGAGCAGGCTGCGCGACAGACAGCGTTACTTCATGCAGAAGGCAAGGAAGCGGCTTTTTATGCAATGGCGATAAGAGGAAAAGGAAGCGAAAAGAAATCGAAGCTTCGGAAGCTCAAGGAAGCCAAGCGAGTTTGCGAAAGATGTGGCAAGGCGCATGCGGCTAGTGTTTGCTGGTATAAGAACGTCCAGTGTCACAGCTGTTCTCAAATCGGTCATCTACAGAAGATGTGTCCAAGTAATCGCAGAGAACTCAAGACTGCAAACGTGGTGGACTGCTCTGATAGTGACTCTGAATTAGATGTGTACCATGTTATCAATACCGTGCGTTCTGGGTATGAAGTGCAGCTAAACGTAGAAGGGCAAGACCTCTGCATGCAGATTGATACGGGAGCAGCTGTAACACTAATTCCTGAGAGTGTGAGGCTGAACGCATTTCCTCATGTCAAGTGCGAGCCATCTCGAGTCACCCTAAAAACATACACTGGGAACCTGTTCCAGTAAAAGGGCAATGCAACGTTTCCGTTAGCCGACTGTCAAAAAACGTTGGAACTAGTCCTGCAGCGGCTGAGTGACTACAACGTGACACTGAAAGAGGAAAAGTGTCGGTTTTTTCAGAGCACTGTGACTTATCTCGGTCACACTGTGTGCGCTGAAGGTATATATCCTACAGAAGAAAAGATAAAGGCGATCACAGAAGCGCCAGAGCCCACTTGCCAAACAGAGCTGAAGGCTTATCTCGGCATGTTAACCTTTTATGCAAAGTTCTTAAGTAACCTTGCTTGCGTGGCAGAGCCATTGTACCGTCTGTTGCGCAAGGGCGAAAGGTGGTCGTGGACACGGGAGTGTAGCGAAGCATTTGCTTCTACGAAACTGTTACTTGTCAAGAGTAATGTGCTCACTTTTTACGATGTGGCGAAACCAATGGCTATGACATGTGACGCTTCGTCGTATGGATTGGGGGCTGTCATTTTTCATGAGACCGCAGAGGGACACGAAAGGCCAGTGGCATTTGCTTCTAGAACACTTACAGCCGCAGAGAAAAACTATGCTCAGTGTGAACGCGAAGCATTAGCACTGATGTTTGGGTTAAGAAAATTCCACCGCTACTTGTATGGACGAGAGTTCACTCTTTATACAGATCATCGGCCATTGCTCGGAATATTAGGCCACGACAAGCCGGTGCCTGCGCTTGCTGCAGCTCGAATGCAAAGATGGGCAATTACCCTGGCAGCGTACCAGTATAAACTAAAATACCGAAAGGGAAGAAATGTTGAAGTGGCTGACGCTCTGTCTCGGCTTCCACGGCCTATTGTAGCGGCCGATGAACCTTCCGAGTGTCTCTTGCTATTTGACAGCATGCCCCTCAAAGCGGATGACGTAGCGCGAGCCACACGACGTGATCCCACCCTCGTCGCCAGTGTAATAACCTTGTCTCGCGTGACGCACTTCATCTTAAATGGACGGCCTTCAGAGTGCTCTGAAGCATTTAGACCATTTTATTCTCGGCGCGACGAGCTATCAGTAGAGCAAGAATGCATAACGTGGGGATCAAGGGGGATCATACCTGATAAGCTCCAGCTACAGGTCTTGCAGCTATTGCATGAGGACCACCCGGGATCTAGTCGCATGAAAGCGTTAGCAAGAAGCTTTGTGTGGTGGCCTGGCCTCGACCTTTCGGTTGAGAGCTACGTTCGACAATGTCAGGTTTGTCAGGCCGTCCAAAAAGCTGCTTCACCGGTTCCTTTGCAACCATGGAATTATCCCACAAGGCCCTGGCAACGCGTGCACGTCGATTATGCGGTAAAGGGCTCTCAGGCGTTCTTGGTTCTCGTCGACGCGTTCTCTAAATGGATCGAGGTCTCGCCTATGTCATCCACTACTGCTAACAAAACCATTGAGAAGCTACGTAGTATGTTTGCCGCGTATGGTCTGCCAGAGGTACTGGTGAGTGATAATGGACCGCAGTTCATTTCCGAAGAGTTCGCGGCCTTCTTGAGTGTAAACGGTGTAAGGCATGTCAAGACACCTCCTTATCACGCGGCTTCTAACGGAGCGGCCGAGCGTTTAGTGCAGACTACCAAACAAGCACTGTCAAAGCATGTCTTGCAGGACAAAGCTAGCCACCACAAACATTCATTTCGGGAACGCTTGGACAGCTATCTAATGAGTTACAGGACTACTCCGCACAGTACCACTCGCCAGACCCCGGCAGAATTATTCTTGAAAAGACAGCCACGGGTAAAGCTGTCATTGCTAAAACCAGATTTCGAGCTCTCCATGCGGGAGCAGCAGCAACGTACCAAAGTGCAAAAGGACATGTCTAGGGGGGTTCCGCGATGTTTTGCTGTGGGGGACGCTGTGTGGGTGAAGACTGTGCGAGGTGAAACAGTGTCGTGGGAAGATGGTGTCGTGACACAGGTTATCAGTCCCGTAACCTATCTGGTGAAAGTGTCGCAGGCGGTGCGATTTACGCATTCGGACCACATCAGAGCCCGCCACGGAAGCCAGGATTCTTCAAGTTATCCGCAGGCACAACCTGCTCCAACGGCATCCGTAGACACGACTCCACCGACGGTTCCGATGGCGTTTGGGCCAGTCGCCGGGTCGCCTCTCGTAAATCCACACGCAACCGACTCTGCGACGTCTCTCCTTCCGGCAACTGCATCGCCCACGGCCGGAGCAGCTGCCTCCGGCTCGCCGGACCAGCCCAGTGCCGACGACGCGCCACCTGCAGCCCAACTTCCAACTCTGCGTCGTAGTGCACGTGTACGACATGCCCCGAACAGATACCAGTCCAGTGACTTTCGGAAGTAATCTGAAGGGGAAGGAGTGTTGTAGCGTGACGTCACTTATCACTGCGTACCCAGTGCGCGCATTCCTGTGCGACCGATCACGTGGTTCTGCGCCTATATATGGTGCGTCTTCTAATAAACTTATCAGTTGCTTCTTGGTATGCTGTCTGCTGCTCACGTTATTACAGAAACTTCAAGCGAACTTACTCGGACTCAAGCTCACCAAAGTATTGCTCACCCGGACTCAAACAGACACACACTAACAGCTCGATCTGAGTTTTAGTGAGTCTGATGGAGTCTACTATGAGTCCGTAAGTGTAGAATTAGTTTTTTCTATCCTGGTGTCAATGCTCTAATACCTGTATCTCACGTAATGAATGCTGTTTGTGACTCCTTTTGATAGAACACAATTGAATGCGTGTTATGAGTGGTTCCAGATCAGCAAGGACACTTTTCTTGAAAGAGGTGACAACATTAGACATATTTATCAGGAACTTCACCAGAACAGTTGGCGGGAAAGAGGAATCCAAGGACCCCCCCCCCCCCCCGCTCCGTTATTCACGCCTCTGATCAATAGCTATTGAAATGGTGTATTAACGAATCCACGATACTGCTTAGAATGCATGTGAATAGACGTGAGTATATACATTATTCGAGATAAGGCTTGTAGTAATTCTGAAGATCAGTAGATAGGACCCTAGTTCGACAAACGTAACAGGAACTCACTCAGACTCACTCATAAAACCCATCTGGCGCTTTGGACTCGCTCAGACCCAGATCCACCAAACTTTTCGTGTGCCGGACTCACTCGAACTCACACTCACTAAAATTTTCGTCATCCGAACTCACTCGGACTCGAACTGACCAAAATATTACTCACCCGGACTCGCTTAGATCACAGCGCAATCTGAGTCTGAGTGAGTGAGAGTTAGTGGACTTATGAGTGAGTTCAGTGACCTTTGGTCGCAGTGTTTTCGGCGTCACCGTGAGTGGGTACTGTATAGTTCATACAGAAATACCAGGATAGATGAATAAACTTTATTGGGCTCCTTGTAACCAGAAACCCGGCGGAAATTCGCGAGTGACCATAGCTCCTCGTATTCTAGCGTGCTGCTTGCCTATTTTGTTTTACGAACCTCATTGGTGGGACACGCAGCTGAGTTGAAGGCAGACGCAAGCTTATTGTGGGCGTGCACTTGACACTTTCGGCGTTTCCGTTGAAGAAAATGTAGGTCAAGGTAGTGCTTTCGAGCACAAGCAAGTGGCATGCTTTGCCACTTTCAAAGCAGTATTAAGCTGCCAATGCCTACATCAAGTTCCGGGGAACTACCCACAAAGCATAACCTAATAACTACGCGATGCACGTTGAAATGGTGAGTTTTCACTATATGCTGGGCGCAACTTGAATTAGGTGCCAACAAACAATTTGTAGAAAGAAAAGTATTCCTCATTCCCTGTGCTTCCTACCTCGGGAGTATACCTCAAGGTAGTTTTTCGACCGTTTGGTAAATCCTATATATGTAAAAAATCTGGTTGAATTGGTTGCTGGTACTGTATCAGTAAAGTGGTTTGCTGATTAGTGTGTTATTTTCAAGGAAATCCCGTCTACAAATGACCATATTAATTACAAAGCAGTATGGGTGCGATTGGAGATTTGTGTAAGCGTTGGTGAATGGCTTAATTTCAGACAAAACAGCGCTACTTTATGTAACTTGGGAAAAAGCTAGTCTGTACATTTGTATATTCAATGATCAAAAATTTGGCTGATTAAGTCGGCAAGTTTAAATATTTAGGCGTTACACTAATAAATCAGTTCACATGGTAAGAACACATAGGCCATGTTTGTGCAGCCTGTCTCGGGAAATGGTGACTTTTAAAAGAAAATTGAGGGAAGGGTCCAGTAGCTTAAAACTTCCAGCTTAGAATGCCTGCATAAGGTCTGAACTAGAGTACGCATAAGTTGTGTGTCCGCATTATCAAAAACATATTTCGCAACTAGCAAATGCCCAGCGTAAAGTAGTGAGATTCATTTTTATTAAAATACAAATGTCCGGATTCCCCTAAATATTTATTGAAGCTAGCTAACATACCAACGCTGGCAGCCCGGAGAAAAGTTAACCAGCTTTCATTCCTTTAGGTAAAATGAAGCTATCCCAGCATCTGTGGAGCGTCTAAGTACAAGAACTATGCTGTCCAAACAGAAAAATTCTAATACTCTCTCACCCCAAAAGCATTTCAATGCAGTTTCTTTCCTCGTACGGGCACAGATTGGAATTCATTGCCAAATAGCATATCCACATTAGATTACTCTGTTAGTAATATTCAATGCCATGTTATGAAAGTCTAGCACTCTTCTTTGCAGCTGCTTCTACTTTCATTGTTCCTACATGTTTTGATGGTCCTGTGATTCAATTATTGTCAGTCTACTTTTGGCATTCGTTTCGTTTCTTGTCTTCACCCATTGCGTTGTTTGTATATTTAATTTTGCACTTGTACATGAAGTCCATCTTTCTTGAGCCAAAACTGTTGGCGTTCAATATTTCAAATGAAATAAACAAATAAATAAATGAAGCAATGTTCCTTCTTTTGCGTCTGCTGCACTGCCATTACGACCAAAGGGTACTGCAGCTAGGAACGTTTTTTTTATATTTTTATTTCACAAATGTATCAGCGTACGTACCTCCCAGGTTTACTTCGCGGCACGCTCAGTATGCATTGTTTACATTGTGAACTTGCGTGAAAAAAGTTTGCTTGATTTTATGATACAAACAGTGCAAATGTCCTGGCAAGAAAAAAATGAAACCATCTCCCACTAAGGGGAACCATGTGTAGATTCAAAGCAGCGGGCGCTAACGCTTACACTGGCGGTGGCGTTGCCGCTGACGCTCATTGCGGCGTTGTGCAGGAGAGAAACCTGAGGGGGAGGCGCAAAGTGCGTAGTGATGGGCCGGTGTGTCCTAGTGGAATATGCCATATCTACTAATGGGTGATCACTGATTGGACACAGAGACCCGCAGCTTCCTTTTAGTTTACACTTACGCTGCGAATATTCTTTGCTAAAGAACGCACAAAAGAAACCTCTCATCGGCACTACCTTGGAGCTAAAGATCTATGCCTATATATACGAGGTAGCCAGTGAATCGTCGCGCACTGCAATCAGTCGTTTTTTTTTTTCAATCAACAAACTCGCTAGCAGACACTGCCTGCGTCGGCGTTGCGAGACGAAAGATGGGGCGGACACACATGCGCAGTGGAGATGTTAACACCGCTGGTAGAGATTTTTTATAATGGTCGTGTTTTTTTCATAATCTATGTACACATAACAAACACTATTCGTACTTATAGTCAAAGGCTAGATAAAGGCCCAAAAAAAGAATTTCTATAGTGATATCCTAGCACAGCAGGGTAAAAAAAAACAAAAAAGATGTAATATTACCATTATAAAATTACGAGATTGTTTCTTCAAGTCAACAGTAGCTAATAAAATGAACCAACAAGCTACATACATTGGAGTACCTAAAAAGAAAGTATACGGGCTACATACAGATGCAATGAAAAGATACGATGCCATTCATGATCAAGAGACTATGCAGTACAAAAAATAACTATAGGTGACCTACAAAATACGTACGCTATGAGAACAAGGACAGAAATATGACCATATGTTACCTATTAACTATTACCTATAACTGTTACCTAATAGTGGTAGGACACGCGTGATATGGCTATGTTGCATTCACTGCACTGCCAAGAAAAGTTGTCCGTGAGAGTAGCGGGTCACTCAGCAAGCATTCTATTTCTAAGCAAATTTCTTCTCTTTGTGGGCGTTGGCGCCTCTGGTATAGCTTGGCTCCCATGAATGAATAGCTGGGAGCCTCATAAAATTGTGAATTCTTTCCCATAGTTTAGTTAAGACCACATATGTACAACATATGAGTGACAGCACTGCTCTGAAAACTGACCGACTGTTTGCATTATAGTGGTCTAACTGTTGGCTTTAAGCACGATTGAATAAAATTTTTTTTGGATATCCAGGGGTGGTAGTCGGTTGTTAGTAGTCCTTAAACCAGTGGTGCAGATCTCAGAAAACACGGAGAAACGATGAACCAAAAAAGCCTCCTGCCTTCTCTTATGAAAACAGTAAAACATTGCGCTGTTAGTCTCAAGCGAATGATGGAACGAAGACAACTAGGGTGCTAACTACAATTATATCACTGATCTTCAAAGAAACGTGTGTTTTTCTTCAACTCATATGCTAAAAACATTCATTTTTGGCGACTCTTTTATCAAAGAGTAAAGTGGCCCTTCATGGGCGTCAGCAGGGAGTCACTAAAAGATCACTCCACCCCTCCCCCCTTCAAGCCTCACCAACATTTGCTACACCAGTGCTCTGCCCCTCCTCCCACCGTAATGCAAAACAAATTTGCAAACCTGAAAGATGACGTCCTGATGACTTTCGTTGCGATGTTGCGTAATTTATTTTATCCAGCCATTCTTCAAGCTGGATGTGTTTTCATGTATGTTAACGTGAGCATATCTTCACAAGTATATAAACAACGCTTGAATTCATTCATTTTTCTCACGTTTATTTCGTCCTGCACTTCGTAAAGCTTGCTGAGATGCTGCTGCCTGTCCTACTGACGCAGCAGTTTTTCAGCTGCGCTTTATTTCTGTGGAGATCACACTACTCCTTCACTAAATTTTCGAGGCACTCCTGAAAAACAGAAAAAGAAGTGATTTGGTGAGACAGATCTTTCCGATAACAATCACTGGTAGTATTATGGCATCCACACGAGATAGTATAGCGCGTTTTTAAGGAGGAATTTAGTGGAATGTCTGCTTGCTCCTTTCAAGTATGCCTCCGCACATTATCAGAATGCGATTTTCTATGAAAATTTTAGTGAATATACTTTCGACTCTATGTCAAACAGCTCTATGTCAAACGCTCTAGAGATGATTCAACGCAGAGCAGTTAGGTTCATTTTTTCTAAATACAGAATAACTGACTCTCCCACTAGCCTAATGAAACAACATAATATCCAGACACTTCAGCTTCGAAGGAAAATACACAGGCTAAAATTTCTCTACCCACTGAAAAACAACTCTTTCTCTCAAAACCCACACGCGTATGTGACACCACTTGCAGCACGTCGAACACGGCATCGTCACGAATTTTCTTTAACACCATATAAGACCAGAACTAACCTTTTCAAATATTCTTTCTTTCCGCGCACTATAAACGATTGGAATAATCTGCATTTATCACAACTAATAAGCACAGACTCCATTGAACATATATCTACTTGATGTTCGCCATTGTCATGTTGATTAATCTTTCATTTCTTATTTTTAGTGCTCCTTTTTTGTATTTCAATTCTTTTTTTTGTATTTCAAGTGTCTTGCGGCGGTATAGGCAAATGTTTATGCGCATGCAATGTGTTCTTACTTCTGTTATCTCTTTTTGACGTTGTTTTCATTGATTATGTTTTTCGTATTTCTTCAGTGTACATCTTGTTTAGTTGTGACTTTCTCCTTTAATTTTTTTGTGATTGCTGTTCATGAATATATGCATATATATATATATATATATATATATATATATATATATATATATATATATATATATATATATATATATATATATATATATATATATATATATATATATATATATATATATATATAAGGAAAAGAAGTGTATACCTAAGGGCTCGTTTTTCCGTGTTTTTAACACAATAATAATGAGATATAACAGACAGTAATGCCAAGGAATGTACAGGGGAAGTAATTAACATTAATGGAATGTAAATAAGAAGAAAGAAAAGTGGATGAAAAAATTACCAACTGTAAGCAGGAATCGAACCTACGACCTTCGAATTCGAAGGTCGTAGGTTCGATTCCTGCTTACAGTTGGTAATTTTTTCATCCACTTTTCTTTCTTCTTATTTACATTCCATTAATGTTAATTACTTCCCCTGTACATTCCTTGGCATTACTGTCTGTTATATCTCATATATATATATATATATATATATATATATATATATATATATATATATATGTGTGTGTGTGTGTGTGTGTGTGTGTGTGTGTATGTGTATATTTATATTCATGTATTTGCCCTCCTGCTTGGACCCAAATAGGGTCTGCAGTATTGTATAAATAATAATAATAATAATTACGTGCACAGATTTGCGCATTGCGAAACTCTTACGGTTTTCGCTAAAACTTGTTGACATTTTTTTTCCGCCAGGCCTGCGCGTTATATACGTAATCTTAGACAAAAGCCTTCTGAGTCGCATGAGACATAAAATCGCGGGAGGCAAGAGGCAAGAACTCATAACGGGAGGCAAGAACTCACCATCATCATCTCCATCATAAGTAGCAGCCGTAGCCACAAGATAAGCATTGACGCCACGAGCCCCAACATCATCAATAGACAGTTATAGTTTGCCGGGTTTGTTCTATCGTAGCGCATGTGTTTTCGTGCATTCACTTTACTTTTTTGGTAAATAGGGCACTGCTGTTGATAACATTGTCGTTGTATACGTTGTCATACATTGAGCTTTCCCTTTGTCATATATTGTCTTTTTCTTAAGTGTCCTTTTAACTTATTAACCCTCTTATAGGAGGTGCCACCACGCCCGTTTGGGCACGTGAACTACGTATGCGCTATCCCGTAAACTATAAGGCCCCGTCAACCTCGAAAGTTCACGGCACAATGGCTCTATCCGTAACCCATGGTATCAGGCTAACGGTAAAGTATAACTCTCTAATGACGCTTGCAATGAAAAAGCAGTGGCTGGCAAAAAAAAAAAGACCTACTTCTTAAGCACTGATGTTGCTTTTTTATGGTTCACGCCTTCGATTCATCTTTGCGGAATTCATGAAGGTTCCTAATGATATTCGTTTTGCTTTTGTGGTTCCCACAGTGACGTAATTGGGACAAGTTTTTTTATATTTGTCTGAATATGAGACCAGCGCCGTGTTAAAACCAAAACAAAGTGTATGAAACATTCTTGAACGTTTGGAATAGATTACGCTTGAAAAGTAGTAACGGTCCGTAAATGTTGAGCAATGCAGCCCTACTTCCAAGTAGTGAATTTGACGATGCTTGTTTTTTTTGTGCACACTGTTTACGCAAAACTATCAAGGACAGTCGTTTTTTTTTTTTTCTCAGTATAAAAATTTTACGTTTTCTCTGGTTTTACTTTAGTGCCAAATATCTGTTTGTTTCGTTCTTAGGCTCTTGTGGCGCAATGTACATAAAAATCTTCAATGCGAAATATCTATGTGGCTTCTGGTGCCCATGCTTGATCTCTTTTTTTTTTTTACTGCAATACACTGCTCCGTGCCACTGCTCGGTTAACTGGAGAGATATTAAAGCAGTAGAAATCCTACATAGCAACAGACAAAGTCCACTCCGTCAAGCTGATGATGCACATTCATCTCATCACATCGTTTTCAGAACTCGTGACGTGACTACACAGCCGTACTACTCACCAAGGCACTCTCAAACTTCTGCTGTTCCTCCTCTGTCATAGCACTGGACGCCTGCAATGCGATTGAGATAATGTACAGTCGGCACGTATTTCTTACAGTGAAACATCCAGTGTCACCGCACTGTATTCAACTCAAGCAATAGGTAGATTCTCTTTACTCAGCGAAAACATTCAAAACTCGCAATCTGCTCGTTTTCATTTGCCTCTGCGCACCCATTATAGTCTCGTTGAACGTCTTCACGCTGCATTGCAAGCTAACCCGCAGAAGGGCACCCTCCCGCACGCAAACGCAAGCCACTTACTGGAGAGCTATGTGTGCACATTCCGACAGTCTAACCAGCTATCACATTGTAGCCCATACAAAATTATCTCCTCAGTGACACTTCTGGGGACAACCAGCGTTATCTCATCATGTAATAGGAAACTGTGGCTAATCCCCATTGAAACCACCGAAACCTTGCCACTGGAACGAGTTATGCCACAGCCTTGACCAGACCCAACATCGACAATCAGGTAAAAACGGCCGTGACACGATAACCCGATTTGTGGTTTTCAGAGAAAAATAGAAGTCTGGAGTATATTACGCTTATAAGTTTAAGAAAAATTGAATGTAAGCGAATATTTCAGTGCAAAAAAAAAACCCATAAAAAACGCACTAAACATCGCCCGCGATCGCCTTTTTGCCGCGCTATTTGTGACGTCATATGCAGCAAGGAGTGTAGCCGTCGTCTTCTAGCGATGTTTCAGCCGTTCTGTTTTAGTTTCAGCCGTTATAAATCTGAAGAAGCGAAAAAAAAATTCGGCAGATCACACGTATACCTTGGAATCGACATTATGCGAAGCATGCGCAGGGAAGGTCACCACGTTGTAAGTTGTTTATTGAGTCACACGTTATGAAATAATGCTGAACATGTGTATAAATGTTGCACGCACACGCATATGTTGTAGAGCCGCAAATGTTTATATACTGTTTGTTTGCACTTGCGCAACGATGCCAACAGGAACTTGGGTATTAGCAACAGCAGAAGCGATTAGGTGATATGAAGCACTGGTTCTAGCTAGGGTGGTAGCCCTGGACGCAACTGCATAAATCAACTTCAGCACATGGCAACCTACTACAATTGACGTTAACTCGACGTGACGGCTCTATCAGAAGAGTACATATGTGAGCTTTATAAAATCAGAGAGCCCACACTGCGACCACAACGGACGTTTTAAGAACATCAACGCTGTATTTGAAAAGCAGTTCTGAGACCTGGCGTAGCTCTGTGGTGCTTGATTGCCACGCAGAATGATTGGGTTAGATTCCTGCTAGGACCCTGATATTTATTCTTTGCATTCGTCGGGCCAACGCTGCCGATGTGAGGTTTTCCTTAATGTCCACGCCTTCAAATTACCCACGTGTGTCGTCGTCGTTCTCGAATAGATACTAAGTTACAATCACCTGTGGCACATACCAGCATACCATTGGTACACACTTGCCCGCAGGTATACGCCATCATCTGGCTGCAAGGGATTGACGACGTATGCGATGGAATTTGGACATCATTCATGTGTAGACCAATGCGTCCAATTCGTCATACCATCATTACCCTTCTGTATGAATTTTGGTTCTCGGAGCTCACGAGAGCAAGTGGTGGTCACGAGCGCACCGCTTGCTCTCATCAGCGGTTAGATAGACAGATAGATCGATAAATAGATGCAAAGACGCAAAGAAACAGTACGCAAACAAATTCTCAGAGTTTAATAAATAAGGTGCTACATCAAACGCGCCAAAGTTTCGCATGCTTATTTGTGAACTCTCAAGATTGAGCCACATAACGTAGAGACATAACACATAACGCAAGCCTCATAAAACGAACACAACACATGCAATTCCCACGACTACGCTCAAGGCATCCCCCACTCAGGAGGCCTTCTCGCTTTAAACACTTTTCTCTTATAAGGACGATTCTCTTTTTCATGTGTGTGCGTTGTATTGGTTGTGTGTGTAGGTTTCTGTTGTGTGTGTGTGTGGGGGGGGGTGTATGTGTGTTTGCGGCTTACGCGTGTCCGTACGAGCGTTCTTCAAACATACGCTTGATTCTATTCACTTCCTGATGGTCACAACATTTACCATTAGACACGGGAAGAAATCTTTCATAATTCATGCCTTTCGCTGAAGGATTCATTCGCAAAGTTCTCATCACGCTTTTTCTTATTTTTATCTTAAAGTAGTGCTGTACGCTTTCATCTACATCCCGTTTCTTTTACTTCAATGTTTCTAATATTCATTACACTGTTGTTACTGCCTTCATAAGCGTTCGACACTGTAGTTCCTCTTCGCGCTTGTCCCTTTCGGAAGATGGTGGCACACTTTGTGTGGAGCCCCAGCGACTGGCACGGCGTGAATGGTGTCTGACCTTGAGGAGACCTAAATACACCCCAGTAATCACTTCTGAGTAAGCCCAAGAGTAATCCTGCACCTTCACAGGAATTAATGCCTTCTATATAGACCAGTGCTCTGCGTAATGCAGTGCGGTGTGGTATCGTGTGCCTTTGCAAACATGCATTATTCTTCCAGATTGTGTATGGGGTCATCTTCAGCTTTGCTGCTTTTGCCCTAGCCATTAATGCTTAAGTCTCATCTCGATATCGGGGCAACCAGGTGTTCATAAACGATTCTCCTGTATGTTTGTTCATTTCTTTGTCTTGTTTGTCTTTTTGCGACCGTAGGGATGCCCTGCAGTGTCTGCACAGACTTGTATTATAAATGAAACGTCACAGTAATGATACCATGAGTGCTTATTTCAACCAGACGCAACTGGGACCAGAACAAACCCAATCACTGCGGAAGTTGAATATTGGTCAATTCTTTCGACAAGCAGTTCGCAAAAGCTGTGCTCCTAAGATGCAAGGAACTTACCTCGTATTCGTTCGCCTTCTCTTTTACGCAGTCGACGATCTGAAAAAATTAAGTTGCTGAAAGTTAGCGACGCCGCTGGTCCCCATGCACTATCCAACCGTGCAAACCTTTAGCTAGCTAAAAATATACTTCGATATAGGTGCGTCTTAAAGTGAACAACAACCACTTTTTATGGTGCCTACTTTTCTTAGCGCGAAGGAGACCTTCACCCGTCACTGAGTCTGATGCCAGAGCGGTAAAGTGGAAAATGCCGAGAAACATCTGTCATCTGGAATTTTTCTATCTGCAGTGAATATGAAGTTATACGCTCACGTAGTGCAAACAGCGAGTGCGTGGGCGGTTCGTTTTCAAGAGCGGGGGTTCACTGCACATGCTTGCACTTAACGCGCATGCGCCACTGCTCGACTTGCTCCGCTAGAGGTCCTGACGGTCGCGCCACTTTTCACCGTACTACTCTTTTTTGCGTCGTAAGCAGCACATGTTTCAGTGGGGCTGGATAGTAACACACGTGCTTTAATTCTGAGGACTGGCACGCACGACAGCATCAGGCTACGTGACCACGTTCAGCAAAGTGACCGGCTTCACATTCCATAATCGAGCTTCAAGGCTGTTTCGCTGGCCTGTGGAACAAGATGGTTTTTAGTAATTTTAAGGATGCCCCGCCGTGGTGGTCTAGTGGCTAAGGTACTCGGCTGCTGACCCGCAGGTGGCGGGATTGAATACCGGCTGTGGTGGCTGCATTTCCGATGGAGGCGGGAATGTTGTAGGCCCTCGTGCTCAGATTTGGGTGCACGTTATAGAACCCCAGGTGGTCGAAATTTCCGGAGCCCTCCAATACGGCGTCTGTCATAATCATATGGTGGTTTTGGGACGTTAAACCCTTACATATCAGTAATTTTAAGAATAATTAAAAATAGATATCCTAGTCACAACGCGAAAAGAATGATCGTACATGTCACAATATCTAACGGTCTTTTCATTCCTACTACTATGTATTCTCACGTTCTAGCCACTTGTAGGTCCCTTTAGAGATCTCCAACTGAACGAAATTTTCGAAGCCCTCCCGTGATGTGTCTATTATAATCATACAGTTGGCCGGGCACGGTAAAACTCCGAAAATTCATATAATATATGGAGCTCAAAAACATGTTTACTAATTCATATATGCCAACAAGGATAGCAAATTACGCAAAAAATAAAAGTCAATCTAGCCATGCAGAACGTGTATGGTTAGCGTAGTTCTTGATTATTTTTCATTTTGCGTACGTTTATAGCACGTGAATACTTATTGAATAATTTAGGACCATATGATCTCCCTCGACTGCTGGTCAATCCCACAGTGTGAGTTGGCGTCAATCATACCAGACTCATCAATATTATCTTCTCTTATGGTTCAAGGCCAAATAAAATTAACATTAGAATAGTTTACCACAAGGACACGGAATCATTTATGATGGTTTGTAAAGATAATCATTTCAGATAATACCTCGCAACGTTACTACAAAGCTTTCTCTGGGTTCGAAGCGTTCATTGTTTGTTACAATTCCCCAATTCAAAAATAAAAAGTGGTTATGTTGCCGACCCGATGACATGTCCTTCAATAAGCGATCGCCTTACTGTTTTGGGTGCCGAATAAGCGTAGAAAATTTCTCGCGGGACCTTCGAATCTTCGTATCTTTTTTATAGGTGGATGAGTTGAGAATCCCAGGCTAAGTACCCAAAGAGCTTCGCGAAGCGCATTCGTCATAGTTTTTTAGCAGACTAACATCTAACGCTGATAGCTTTCGGTCGCGCCGTCCATTCGAACTTAGCTCATATAGAACCCCCGGGCTTAAATTTTGAAAAGGGTTCAAGAACACCAGATGGCCAAAATTATTCAGCAGTTACGTATACCTACGGCGTTTTCTGTAAACACAATAGTGGTTCTAGTTCATAAAACGTCAAAAATTATTCTTATACTTCGGGAGAACTGATCAAATTACTGCAATGATGATGTGAGAAGGATGCATGAGAAAGCCTTTCTGCTTTACCAGCATTACAGGTATGGTTTCATAAGCTTGCCATTTTGCAAGGCAATAGTTTCAATAACCTTGAACGCTTCAGTTAGGCTAACAAGGACGAAGTCCAACGATGTTCTTGTACTTACTTCTGTTAGTCTTTCATGAGGATCCTCATCATGGGCGACGCTGCCACGGCACTCCATTACGGCCGGAACGAACCCCAAAGCAAGCTGCAAATGAGTCGAAATAAGTTTTTTTTTTCATATCACCCACCGAATAGATAGATAGATAGATAGATAGATAGATAGATAAATAGATAGATAGATAGATAGATAGATAGATAGATAGATAGATAGATAGATAGATAGATAGATAGATAGATAGATAGATAGATAGATAGATAGAATCATATAGTGGTTTTGAGACGTTAAACCCCACATATCAATCAATCAATAGATAGATAGATAGATAGATAGATAGATAGATAGATAGATAGATAGATAGATAGATAGATAGATAGATAGATAGATAGATAGATAGATAGATAGATCATATTCATCATCATCAGCTTGACTACATCCACTGCAGCACAAAGTCCCCTCCAATGATCCGCCAGTAAACTTGGTCCTGCGTTTGCTGCTGCCACTTTGGACCCACAAACTTCCTATTCTCATCTTCCGACCTAATTTTCTGTCTCCCTCTAACCCGCTGGCCTTCTTTGGGCATCTATTCAGTTATCCTTAGTGACCAGTGGTTATACTGCCTACGCGCTACATGCCCAGTGCACATTCATTTCTTCTTGTTTTCAACTATGATATCCTTAATTCCTGTTTTTTCCCTGATCCACTCTGCTCTCTTCTTGTCTCTTGAAGGAGCCCTGCAACACTTTTTGAGCATGGTGATAGAACAATGCCGATCGGTAGTAGAGGCTCTCGACAACATGCGAGCCAAATATTATAGTTCAACACGCGGCCTGAAATTCACAATAAATTATCAAATTCAGCTAAAGATTGCTTCCTTTTCTCTCGCCAAGTGGCAGAAGACGCTTCAAAATCGATCACTCCTAGAAATCCCATCTATCAGACATTAGCTGGTTTGAACATGGCGCGCTCAGTTGTTACAGAGATCACCGCGGGAGGCCGTGAGTTGTCCATGCGTGCGCGTGCGATCACACTAAAAAATGCGCGCATACGAAGCAAAAAAAAAAAATGCTCAAGGTCACGAGGCACAGCGTGTCGTATTTTCATTGCCCCTGCCATCCCTCCCTGCTTACCTTCCAGCGCTTTCGTCGCAACGGGAGAAGAGATAATGCAATTGCAGCATGCGACAAATCTTGGTAACTCCACACGCACTGGATGAATCCTGAACATTTTTGCGGCTTTGAATTTGTCAGGCAATAAGCTGTTCCTGTGAATTCATTCCATGGTTGCTTGAAAAAGTGTTTCAGGGCCCTTTCAAGGCTACACCTATCATTTTCCTTTCCATCGCTTCCTGGGTCGTCCTCACTTCAAGCTGAACCCTTTTTCTAAGCCTCCAGGTTTCTGCTCCGTAGGTAAGTACCGGCAAGATGCAGCTGTTATATGGATTACTCTTTAGGTATTGTGGCAATCTACCAGTCATGATTTGAGAGTGCTTGTCCAATGTGCTTCCCCCCCCCCATTCTTACTCTTCTAGTTACTTCAATCTCGTGGTTCGGCTCCATGGTTGTCACCTGTTCTAAGTAGACGTAGTCTTTTACAATTTCAAGAGCATTATTACCCATCTCGAAGCGCTGTTCTGTTCTCTTCCGAGGTTGTTGTACATTACTTTTGTTTTCTGCAGAATCCCCGAGTTACTCAGCAATGCACTGTCATCGGCGAAATGCAGGTTTCTATGGTATTCTCCATTAACTCATATCTCTAAATCTTTCCATTCTAGGCCTCTGAAAACATTCTGTAAGCACACGGTAAATAGCATTGGGGAGATTGTATCCCCTTGTCTTACGCCATTTTTTATTGGTATTCTGTCGCTATCTTTATGAAGGCCTCTGGTGGCCGTTTATCCTATTTAGATTTCTCCCAGGACATTTGTATATGCTTTGTCAACGCCCTGATTTCACAGTGTCTGCATGACTGCTGATATTTATACTGAATCAAATGTCTTCTCGTAATCTTTGAAGGCTATGTATAGTGACTGGCTGTATTCTGAACATTTATCTATTTCCTGGTTGATGAACGTGGTTGATTGTCAAGAAGCCTGTTCGAAATCATGCTTCTTCCTTTGGCTGATTGAATTCTAATGTTGTCTTAGTTCGGTTAGCAATTACCTTTGTGAATAGCCTGTATACGACTGAGAGCTAGCTGATCAGCCTGCAATTCTTCAAGTCCTTGTGATCTACTTTCTTATATTTTAAGTAGATGTTAACATTCTTCCAAGATTCTGGTTCCCTCCCCGCCAGGTGACACATCGTAAACAAGGTCGCAAGTTTTTCTAACACAATCTGTCCTCTGTTTTTCAGCAGATCTGATGTAACCCGATCCTTACCAGCAGTTTTGCTTCTTTGCATTGCCTCCAAGGCTTTTCTGACTTCTTGTGTCAATACTGGTGGAATGTCGTTTGAGTTACTGCCAGTTCTTACATTATGGTCGTGGTTGTCCCGGCTACTGTACCGATCTCTGTAAAACCACTCTGCTATTTTAACTATCCTATAGTTACTTTCCGTTACTTTCCCTTCACTGCAGTTCACCCCTTTCCCATATACGCTAGGAAAGTTCCTGGCTGTGCTACTCATGAGGCCATACAATACTTGCGGCTAAGTCGTACATGTCACTGCAGTACCTAGCACACTAACCTCCTTGACGATTTCCGAGGTTTATGTTGTCGGCTTCGGACAGGCAGTTCTCTTGCGCTGTGCTTATCTTGCTGAGGATCTCCTGAGACTCCTTCTCGTCAAGATGGAGGCCTTCAACGAAGATCTTCAGGGCCTTGATGATGGCGTCCACGTCCTCTGCGTGATTGAGACTGATTCAAGAACGCGCAGTGGCTGATATGGTGAGCCTATCTAGAGCCGTGCTCATAACAGTGAAGAGAATGTAGGTTCCACTCAAGAAACCGCAGTGTGAATGGCCTTCGCCTCTAGGAGATTCATGCTATAGTTGCTTTTCTCACGCTATCGTGTGCGTGTTTATCCATGGTTTTCACGTAACTAGCTTCAAGAAAAGTTAGCTACTATTTAAGACCGTTTACTTGTGACCTGCATCACTCGATTCAAACACACTGTAGTTAACCAGTAGCCGCATCACTGATTCAATGGCCACTGTACCCGGCTGCTCACACGAAGATCGTGGGTTCAATCGCGGCAGTGGTAGTCACGCTTACTATATGGACGCGAAAATTTGATAGGCTGGTTTGTTTAAATTTAGGTGCAGTTTAAAGAACCAGAGGTGGTCGAAATTTACGGAGTCGTCCTTACCGACGTTGCCGTATCACGCTGTTGCGGCTTGGGCACGTCAAACAGCAGCCATACTTCACAGAGGTAACAAGTAATGTGCAATCGCAGTTTTGCACCATCTTCCACTTGCATAACGCATGTGCAAGTGAGCAGCGACGTACTCACCGTTAGCGTTCACCTTGATGGAGGTGAAGCAGAGAATCAGGAAGATGGCGAAAACTTGGCTCTTCATGTTGCCTTGAGGAAGAAAAGGACGCTGTGCTTACCAAGATAAGGGAACTCGTGGTATACTGGGCGATGTGCCGAGTATAGATCGAAGCAGTGACGGCCCGAGGCAATGTCTTCCAGCGCGGGAACGCAGGTGTGATCTGGTGTGCCCTTCTCACTGAATTTATACGGAACAGCAGGAAGGCATCTGATTTAGCTGACCCCGTTTCAATGAGAAAAAAATAAAAAAATAAAGAGCCTTACCACAGGCCTTTTTGAAATGTTTGCTCAGAACGCCATAAACTAGACACGTAACAGAAACAGTGGTCAAAGTTACACTTTTTTGTCTGTTTTTTTACTCGTAGCACCACTGTGATATCACCGCGGTATCGCCTATGACGCAGGTGCAGTTCTGTTGCACAAGGTATACGCATTGTTGCAAAATGATTTGTGCCATGTTCCGTGACAACGGCTGCTGGGCAGTGCTGAACCTGCGCAACCAGGGCTGAGGCTGAGTCATGCGGTCTGCACTATTGCCGAGAGAGGACTTGCAATAAAAAAAAGTGTCGGAGCATCTACCTGAAGAAGTTCCTGCAAGTGATGCGAAGACGTATAGTTTTATCGAAGGAGGCGCCGTACACTAGAACGCTCTTGCTTTTTTTTTTTTTCGAGTGGCATGGACCTGGCCTTCTTCCATCGCTCTTCTAGCACTCGTAAGCATATTGGGTCAGCCGGATGGACAACAATATATTACCAACACAAACAAATACATAATTCAATAGTTGCTCTTTGCCCCCTAGAGTGCTCTGGTGACATGTTTAAAAATTTTCGCATGTCAAACTTCAGAATATGGAGAACATTTACTTGCCTAATTACGAGTTCCGGTTTATTGGCTAAGATCAAACAGTGGCTCAAGGAGGAGAATGTCTGCCTCCTTACAGCCTTGCCTCCTACGGCTCCAGTGCCAGGTGCCATCGTCGTCGGCAGCCTCGGCTCGTGGGATACGGTCAACGATCGTGTATGCCGCTGGCTGTGTTCTCGGAACTACCTGGCGGACAATGAAGAGACTTTGCATCAGTGACACGATCGCCACCTTTACGAACATATACCGTAGCCTAGCTCATAGGTGTTTTGTAAATAGTGTGTTTTCATTTGATAAGTGATAACGCGTTTTTTATTTGTTTTACACCTATACAGTTTTATTCATCCTAACAATACTGACTGTTTTACGCCTTTTGTTACCTTGTTTTTAACGTATACAATTTTATCGCCGTTCTTGTTTTGTTCTTTTGTAACCCGTTTTAATGTACCGACAAAAAAGTACATTTTGTCCACTCTAAATATTTTCCATTAAAATAAGAATCATTACACTACCAGTTCCGGAACCACAAACGAAGTCCCCTATGATTTCTTTAAAAAGTTAGGTTTGAAAGTTATAAAGTTAGGCGGGCAGATGAGATTAAGAGATTTGCGGGTATAAAGTGGCAGCAGGAAGCACAGGACCGAGATGACTGGCAGAACATGGGAGAAACCTTTGTCATGCAGTGGACGTAGTCAGACTCGTGATGATAATGATGATGATAATTTCTTTGGCACTTATCCTGTTCTACGAACCTCATTGCCAATGAACCAGACCTTGGTTGAAGGTAGACGCAAGCTTTGTGTGTGGGGCATCTTATATATGTCAGCGTTTCCTCTGGCAAATTACAGGGCAAGATAGTGCTTTCATGAACGAGTTAGGAGCATGCAGTTGCCACTTTCAACGCAGTATTATTCTGCTTTCTGCGTTAATACCCCTCGAACCTCCCGCTAAGCGTACTCTAATAATTACGCGATGCATGTTGAAATGATGACTTTTCGCGAAATGCCGCGCATTCTAGTTTAGGTGAAAGCATCCGGCAGCTTGATTGATTCCCTCCTCATCTTCAATGAAATATGTACACACTAGATATTAGCCAGGCGTAGGCTTCTGCTCTCGCAGCCGTTATTTTTGAGGGCCGAGTCAATCACTTGAAAATACTGCAAATCGGTACTTACCCGCCTGCTTTTAGTTTACCGTAAGTTTATTTACAGTATAAAGTATCAATGCCCTTACTGCGATGAGATACGATACACATTATTCGCAAGTTTCGTAGGCTGTCACGCCACTCCGCGGCCGCCAGCGTATTTTTTTCAAAGAGTATCGAAGTAGCGGTGGGGCAGCAGCGTTCATAGCATGTGCATGAACGTCTTGGCTGGCGTTGGGCTTTCACTAGGGCAGTTTCTGTTGTAGTTACTGGACGCACAAAGGTCACTGCAGTCGTTTCACAGTCTTCGTTTGCGAAAAGGGTGCGTTTTTTAGATACAGCGAAGTAACAACTGAGACGCTATCAACATGGTCTTGTGCTTTCTGCTGCCACAGAACCTTTTAACCTCATCGGTCTACCCCAGTCGAAAAAAAAAAAGTGGCAGCATATCCACGGAGTGAATGTTGGAGAGTGGGGCGAAGCATTCGTCCGTCCATTCGTTCTTGCTTCCGTCCGTCCATGTGTCCGTCTGTGAGACCGTCCATGCAGTCCATCCGCCCGTCCGTGCGTGCGTCTGTTCGTGCGTCCGTCCCTGCGTTCGTCCATGCATCCGCCCCTGCGTCCGTTCATGCGTCCATCCATGCATCTGTTTGTGTGTCCATTCGTCCATCTATTCAACACTCCAAGTACCACCATCTCGCATCTTTTCATCATATATTCCCCATATAGAAGCACCGCCATCCAGCGGACATTCCGAGGACTAAATGAGAGGTGGCACACGCACATTTTCTTACAGCTTGCGCTTCGGGTCTACTTCCCACCTTTAACCACCTCGAGTTCATGGTATATACTAGTTCACTGTATTCATGGCACTGCGGCCCGATGCTCGCTAAACCTTTCTAAAACCAAAGAGGTTACGCCCAGCGAGTATAGCGTAGCAACCTTTTCCTGCCAGATATTGCTCAATGTACCATACGCGCACACACCGACGGCAACGAGCATTGGCAACTACAAACCTGTATCTATATGGTTTTGATTATAAAACCATTGCTTTGGAAAACACCTGGCGCCCCGCCGCGGTGGTCTAGTGGCTAAGGTACTCGGCTGCTGACCCGCAGGGCGCGGGTTCGAATCCCGGCTGCGGCGGCTGTATTTCTGATGGAGGCGGAAATGTTGTAGGCCCGTGTGCTCAGATTTGGGTGCACGTTAAAGAACCCCAGGTGGTCAAAATTTCCGGAGCCCTCCACTACGGCGTCTCTCATAATCATATAGTGGTTTTGGAACGTTAAACCCCACATATCAATCAATCAATCAATTAGAAAACACCTGGCGTCTTTCGTTAAACAGCTGGCGTCTTCTTTTTGTTTTGCTTCAGAAACATCTGGCGTCTTTCGTTGGTTTATTTCATCAATAAACGGCGTTTTGAACAAACATTTTTTATTGTTTAATCACGCACAGGAGAAATCTCACCAGGCACTACCTTGGAGGTAAACAGTGGCTGCTACTAGGAATGAGAGACAGCAGAAGTCGGCTTTTAACACTTCTACTAACGTTTCCTACTGGAACATGCCAAATGGCTGCCAATGGGGATTGAGAGACAGGAGCATTCGGCTTTCGGTTAACGCCCACGCCGCGAACTTTTTATTGTTCAACAAAGCACCGGAGAAATTTCCCACCGGCACCATTTTGCAGGTCAAAATGTAACGCTTGTTACACACTACGACTACGACTACGAGAGACGAACGGGTGCCGCTTTAAGGAGCTCCGCCCCTAAAACACCAGGCTGTGTCTGGCGTAATTTTCCCCTTTCCACCAGAACGGCAATTCAGACATGGTTTCTGCCATATACGGCCTGTCTGCTATATGCGTCTCTTTTCTGGTGTGATACGCACTGGTGTGTTTTGGCAAGACCCGGGCTGGTGTGTTTTGGGAAAACCCGGATTGGTGTGTTTTGGTAAGCACCAAGTTGGTGTGTGTTTTGATGACGGATCCTCGTATAATCCTTCTTTTTGTGTATTGAAATGCACTGTGCATGAAAACATGCACTTTTACGTGGCCATTAGCAAAAACGGCAGGCTAGCAGGGTATAGTGTAGGACTGACATTATCTCTTGTTTATTTTATTTGTGCCCTCGTCTAGGCTTGATCGTTCGGGCGGACCAGCTTCGCTTGCTCTTCCAAAAGGCCTCGGGAGGCACTTCAGGGCATGTAAAATAATAGTTCATTGCAGCATTGCATAATTTCAATAATGAAGTTCATTATGTTTGTTGAAGATTTTTGGCTCGACTTTTAGAAAGATAAAAGAATAAGGGTGTGCGAATATTCGAGCTTTCAAATATTTCTCAAATAGCACTTGCTATTTGATCAATTTTCACTGCACTGTTTAGTAGTAGAATTTCCTGAAGACAATGCCCAGTAAACTGCGACCCCTTCAGACTTTTTTTATGCTTTGCCCCAATACAATTTCACACTGCGGCAAAGCTGCCTTTGAGGCTATAGTTGCCGGTGCATTTATTCGAGAAAATGCTGGTTCCAACATGAAGATGCACTGTGCCATTACGGACACCCCTTCATTTTTTACTATGATTCACCGCTTCACGGGCTACGCTACGGGCGTAATCAGATTGACTCACGAAAGTGCTGGTTCAAACCTGCGTGTCAAGGGCAGAAGCTTTAACTAATGTTGTTTAGGATAAAAAGATCCAAACAAATTAGACGAATGTTTGAACTATCTGAAATTTCAAGTATGTTTATACACAGACATTGGCAGGACATATCAGCAACTCTAAATTCGAAGAAAGCACGCCCTTGTCCACCAAATCAGAAGGGCCCCCACAGAAGTTAGGTGGATGAACTTTTCACGTGTAAAGGGATGTCAACAGCACATTGGTTGCACTAAATATAGTAAATAAATACAATTCGATCTGCAATGCCTCATCCTTGATAAAACACGGGAGCACCTTCCCTCCAGAACTTCACCAACCTAGCTAAAAAAACAATGCCACGTTTCTATCCCATAATAATGTGCATGGGAATCTTCTGCAACCTTTTGTCTGTAGATTCACTTCGTAGTATTCAACAAATATTCAACAAATGTTAAAAAATATATTCCCATTTACACTCAAACTTCAATATTTGTATTCGTTTCGCACCCAG